TATTGTGTGGATCTCTGGATTAAGGAGTTTATCCTTGCAAAGCTGGTGATAGATTTCTGTGCTTCGCATATTGAGTTTAATGTTGTTTTGAATCCATTCTCTTGCCTTTATAGGAAATTCAATTCACCGGTATGTTGGTTTCTCATGTTTCATTTGGTGATCACCTTGGACAAAAACATATTATTGTTCCAGAGTTATTATGAGTTTGATATTTCCTACGCAGGTATACCTTTCAATAGAAGCATGAGCTTCACTTTGTCTTCTTGGTGGTTGATTGTCTAATCTTCTCCAGGCCTGATCATCCTGCATCGTGCAGCCAAGATATACTGTAATAGAATCTGAAAACATTTTCTTTTTGCTATTTAGGTATATTTTGCGTATCTCCCAATAATAACCAGAACCTGACTCGAGCGGTATAATAAGTATATTTGCAAGTTAATTAATTCTGTTCAATCTATATATATTTTATTTATAGATTATTATTAATTTATTTGTATTTTGTATTTATTACTTTTCTTATAGATATGACTTGTCTATTCTATCCTTTTATCTTAGATCTGAATACTTTTAAAAAATACAAATAATTATAAGTTATAAAATTAAAACTGTTCATATCATATTTTATCTTGTTTACAACTATTAACAAAATAATCTTATAATATAATTTTAATATTATTTTCTTAAATAATAAGTAAAAATATATTATTTTTGAATTATAAAATAATAATTATATTTAAAAAATATAAAATATTTAGTAATATAAAAGAATAAAATATTAAGAATATAAATTTTAAAAAATAATATTAATATCTTGAAATTAATAAAATATATAATAATATTATTATTATTAATTAAAAATATTAAAAGATATATATAAATATATTTTTAATTATGATAAATACTAATAAAATAAAATAATAACTAATTATTTTATAATAATTAAATATTTTTTATTAATATTAAAAGCAAATTATCATGAATTTTATTATATAACTATTAGTTACTTATTAAAAATTTGATATTATTTAATTATTATTAATTATCTTACTAAATATATTTATTCATTTAATATATATAATCTGATATAAAAATATTAATGCATCAAATAAATATTAATAGATTGTTTTTTAAAATAAAATTTTAATTTTGTTTTATTTAATTAAGTTATTAGATATTAAAATTTATTTAAATATAAAAATTTTTATTATAAAAAAAATTTTACTAATATAAACTTTTTGAATTATTATTTCTTAAATTTTATTATATAATACTTGATTAAAATTAATATAAAAATTATATAGTAAATAATTTTATTTTTATAATTACTGATTCAATTTTTATGAAATTTAAAATATATATTTATCAAATCTAAAACAATCTGCTTGCATAATTTAAAGTTTTAATCTTGCAAATCAATAATAATAATATTTAAAATATCTTTTTTTTTAAAAAAAATAATTTTATTTTAGTTTTTTTAATAAAGTAATGCTTCATTTATTATTAAATTAAAGTATAATAAAATAATTAAAATAATATAAAAAGTTAATTTAGATCATTCTTCATTTAAATATAAAACTATTATAAAGATTGATTAAAATTTGAATGATTTTTATTAAAAGCAATTATTAATTTTATATTGGTATACCAATCTTTTTGTACTGGTCCATACTTTAATTATTATATTAAAAGTAATTAAATTATTCTTTAAAAATATAGTTAGACATCTCTATAGTCATATTTCTTTATAGTTATCTTTTTTTATTGTTATCTTTTTTGAATTTCCCAGTTATTAATTAACTATAATTCAAAAATCTCTCTATAATCACATCTCTCTTTAGTCACCTAATTTTGCTTTCCCGAGTGTGATGACTATAGAGAGATCTGACTGTACTTGACAAGAGATCATTATACTCTTACTAAAATTATATTATATTTTTCTTGCAGCTTGCTTGAAACTCATAACTTCAAATAAAATCCCTATTTTTATTCTTGTCAAAGATGGCCAACTGGTATAACAAGTATCATATTTACATCTAAAAAAATTTCGTCTAGTGTATATTTAAAAGTAAAGAAGAAAACAACAAAAATTAGGATCAACAATAACATACGCAACGCCCTATGTTGTTACACATGCAAATCGGGCGTTACTTTTTGTGGTGACTGCTTATTCCATCATTCTCATGTTGAATCGTGTGACAATGCAAGTGGTGCAGTTCAATATTGCGTATCCACCAATCAAAACTTCGGGAACACGTACGAGTAAATGAAATAAACCGGAACTTATTCAATACCGATAAAACATAACATGTACATGTATCTCTTTTAACAAACTTCGTCGACGAAAATGACATTAACATCATTTTCGTCCTCTTCACTCTTTATTTACTATGAACGATTATACTGCATCGGAAATTTTTCGATTTCAGCTTTATGAAGAAAAAGCAATTGGAAATGCTTTCTTAGAATCAAGTTGAAACACCGGGGCTCTACTCTATTGTTAAAAAAACAAGCGAAATAAACATCATAAAATAGGTATTGCATTATTAAAAAATTATTGAAATTTTTAGTTCGAGTCAATCCTTGATATAACGAAACGAAGTAGTCGAGCTATTAATAAAAATTTTGAACACCCAGTTTTAACTATAACTTTTACAACGCGACTTAATGCTTTCGTTATATTGAGGTTTGAATATCAGTTTAAAGGCTAGTAAATTTACTATTAGATAATCACGATTCTTATTGTTGAAAAAACGCATCTCTGTTTTCCTAAATTAGACTTCCTTTCAAAGTTTATAGACTAACCAATATTATGTAATGATATTTTTGTCATAGTAATAGTTAAAACCCTTAATCGCCATAAAAACACATCATCTTCACGGAATAACTAAAGGTAAAACACAATTTTCATCGTATCCTTATTTAACAATTTTTATTCTGTTGTTAATCAAAATATTCGTCAGATCTGATTTTGCTTGTTTTGACGGCGGAATCCTTGAAGAGTATTTAAGTGCTAAATGACCAAAATGAATGGCAACAACAAATTAATTTATGGACATCATACATCGTTATTAGGTAAAGTTTATGCCAATATTTTAAGAACTTTTTGCCACTTCAATCTAGTATTTTAATTCTAATTTGCAAATTTGTAGAATCACAATTCTGTACTCGTTTATAATGAAAAATCGAAATATCAGACTTAAGCTTCCAAATGACCAAAACAGACTTAAGCGTGAAAAGTTATATTTGATCCAGCATTTTTGAAAGATATGATTGATTTTAGACGAAACAAAAAATCCGACACTTTTAGTCTTGGGGTACTATTTTGGTTACTTCCAGCAGGTTGTCCTCACTTAACTAATAGGAGTGTGTCTTTGCTCAGAATCAAAAAAAAACGGACCTCAGATAAATACTTCGAACTTATTATATTGGCATTGACATACCAACGAAGTGAGCGGACATCTATCAAGCCAAGTAAATGAACAATTAAAGAATAGAATGTCCACCATTTTCATTTACCAAGAACGATTATTTCCGCATAATCACCTGCCGAGGAAACTAGCGATTTCTTGTCTTGATGAAAATTTACATGGATGGCTAACGAAGATGAAATAGCTCCTACGTACTCGACCACGCATCTTAGGTGAATCGAGATAGAACCATGAAGAATTAAGTTTTGAGTGGGTTTGCTCAATAAAACTCTCGGGAACAAAATTGATCGGACAGTTTTATGAAATTGTTCTGACGCAGGAAAAAGTTTTCTCGTGACAATCAAATTCAGCGACGTGAAATAGCATCGGACAATACGACCTTGATCTTTTTTGTTAACACGAGGTTGACCACGAAAAGATTGTAATAGAACTTTTTCAATTATATTCAAATCAGCACAATTTTATCTTGAGATTTATTTGAACTCGCAAATGTGGAAATGCTAACGAACAATCTAGTATACATTCCTTTTCTTTCCGCTGATGAACGAAAAACGTTATTAATAGGAGGAGAATCACTGGGAATAACAAAAAAGCACATCAAGACTGAAAATTTCGGATTTTTCGTTTCGTCTAAAGTTAGCCATATTTTTAGAAATGCAGGATCAATATAACTTATTACGCCTAATCTGATTTTGAGTTATACATTATTATGATTCTTTCGTGTAAAAATGTATTAGAAACTTAGTATAAAATGCTTAGCCAAGGTTAATTTGTCATTTCCTTGAATTTTTACTTAAATATTCTTTAAGAGTTCCGCTGTCGGCATACTTAGAACAAGTATATGCTTTCAAATTTGTTTTAAAGAATTTCTGATATCAGTAAATTTTAAATAATTGTAAGAAAGGAGATAGCTAAGATTTAACTACAGCACAATTTTGATTTTAGTATTGGAGATTAAAAATTTGCCAGTAGCCAAGTACCCTAGCCATGGCGAAAAAAAAGTTACGGGTCATGTGATTCCGATCTATCCGAACTAATCAGATTTTTCCAA